TTATAATCACATTATTTTTACTGATAGCCAAAAATGATATGCATCTTTCAGAGTATATACCAGAAGTTATAACTCACTCAAACATGTACCATGCAACGAGTCTAGGTGAATTAACTAAAGTTTTCAATACAATACCTTATCCTGACCTTGGGCAGGTCTTGGCAGGCGTTCAGATTCAATGTCATACTTTAGTATCCTGAAACATTCGAGTCGCTCCTCTAAAAACAATGCATATGTACGTACCCATGCAGAGCAATCCCAAGCTATTAAAAGATATATGTATTAGACATTTATCCATTATTATTGACTACGCTATTGGAGTATCATTTATATGAATCACTGAAAAAGAAGAGAAGAGGATGTCAGTAATTTTACCAATAGGACTTGAATCATCCTTAAAATTGGATAATTGAAGGATTTTAGCTCTTTGCGTAAAATTCAAAAGTTCTTCCCTGAATGTTGGGTCGCCCTCCCTCAAGGTCCTATGTATGACTATTAACACTTTCAAAGCTACCTGTCAAACATGAAGAAACTTATACGGTTGATGCAAAAAGAAATCAAGTTAAAAGAATAAATAGACAATGAGAAAAAGGATATAAAGGGTAAGTTTTAAAATAAATCAGGATGAAATCTTAGGACAATAAGATAGCTGTTGATCATTGTATTCTCACATTCATTCCACTTATAATCATGGATCAGTTGTTTCATATTTGTCAAAATAACCACGCACCGACATTCTTTTTCTTTTTTTTTCTTTTTTTTTTGAGGACCAGACAACATCTCAATATTCGGTCCACATGGGACATGCTTCATCACCATTGAATACATGAAATCCTTTAAATATTAAACAAAAATTTCAAAGAAAAAGGCTCAACTAATAATAGGATAGAAACTAAAGGTTTTGTATTTTTACCCTAACAGATGAAGAATAAATTTATCAGAAACATTGCCAAATTTACAATAAAAAAAATGCACATTTCCTTTCTAATGGTAAATTAAGAATCAGTAAAATAAATTTGCAGTCGCCGTTGCACTTGTGTACCATCACATTTGAAACAGCATGCTCATAACGAAAGTAATAAAATCCAATGCAGATAAATATGAGCATTAAAGAAAAACCACAACCACATACTATAGGAACATAACCAATTTAAGAAGGGGATAGCTAAAGGAACCGCACAATTTTCTTAGACGATTGTTATCATCCAGATAAAGGAGCCTAATGCGAACAAAACAACAACAAATATCACAGAGGAAATCAACACATAATGAATTAAATTCGTACCGTCCAATTACGCGTCTTGGACAATCGTCGAGCAAGGGCATGAATGCAATAAGCAACATCAGCACGGGGCCTGATTGCCGATGTAGCAACCAAAATTTCTGAAACAAAAACAGGCAATCAATCCCACAAAAAGTAGATTTTGATTCATAGCAACAAAATGGATCTGGCAAACAGCAATCACTCACTCCTGAGGTGTCTCTCTTTCGGCGGGCACTCGACGTGGTTAGTAGCTTTGACTATTGCCACATCCAAATCCTAAATACAGAATAAGATAATAGCAAAACTCACAAATCGGATCAAACGCCGATCGACAAAAGAATTAAAATGAATAAATAAAAGAACAAAAAGCGAGAGGAGAATTTAAAAAAAAAAAAAAAAAAAAAACAAATAAACAAACAAACAATCCAAGAATACCGCAAAATCGCTATTGACATGGGCAAGGCCGACTTTGGTAGAATCCTTGAGAGCGCCATAAGCTTTCCTCCATGTCTGAAGCGTAGCCATGTTCATATAATGCTCTCTCTAGATCTCCGTCTGTCCGTGTCTCTCTCTCTCAAAATTAGAAGTGTTACGTGTTTCGCAGACCTGAATTCCCTGTTTCTCTCTCTGTGATCCAACGAAGAACAAGATGAATTCTTCTGCGGAGAGGAAGATACGCTTTTACTTTTCCCTTTTTTTTTTTTTTTTTTTTTAATTTCTCCAATTTTGAAGAAAATAGATTCCAATTTCTGACCTATGTTGGTGATGGCGTGGATGGCCCCATGGGTCGGTAAATCATACGTGACATCATCATTATTTCTTCTTTTCTTCTTTTTTTTTTTATTCATTTCCGATTTTTTTTTTTTTTTTTTTTGGTTCGTTCTTATTTTTATAACAAATTTCCTGTTTTTTTTTTTGTTTTAAATTTCGAAATATTAAAAAAAATTAATATAACAAAATTGGGACAGAGATTTGAATCTCCGACCTTAATAAATGGCGTATATACCAATTATCGTTGAGTTGTATTCACTTTGATTATAAAAAAAACTTTTTAATCGAAAAACCTCTAATGAATAATATAAGATAATAAATAGATGAGCAGTCATAGTATGTGAAAATCTTCCAATAAATAATGTTAAACACGAGGTATCGACTATCATCTTCTTATCCTTCATTTATAGCCATCATGGCTAACTCGATCAACAAAACGAGAGACATCTTGACTGGAAATAAAAGTAGAATCATATTTGTTTTCAGCGAAAAGATAAGTCATATCGTCTTTCACTGTTTGCTCACCTTATTAGCTCTCTTTGAGAAGGTTACAAACTTGTGGTGTTGTTTAAGTCGTCTTAAGTAAAGGACACCTTTGATGTTGTTGTTGACATTCATAATTTAGGGTTTACAGTAGTTTTTTAACTATCTCACTAAATTTTGGAAATGGACTTGATAATATGAACGTGCCTTAAATTAAAGATGGAGAAACAAAGCAATTAAGAGCGACGGTGGATAACGAAGTTCGAAGCGGTAGCAATGACTCAAACGTTCGAAAATGAGAAAATAGAGAAATCATAAAATATAACATTTTGGGGTAAATAGGAAATTTCACCAATAAAAAAGGTTAAAAAAAAGTTCTTCAAGCCCCCAAATCACGACACTCTACTAACCTAATAGTCTGTTGTAGCAGAGTAAGCTTCAGAAGATCTTTTCAAGATTCTTATTCGAGCCTCAACACTTTGCAATCTTTCTAAAGCACCAACGCCTCAACGTGAGATTTGGAAATTCAAATGAAAGAGTTAGGCGTATTATTGTGTCTTTGCCGTTGCTCAATCTCTTGCTTTATTCTCGAGTTAGGTGCCTTTTTTTTCTTTTTTTTTTTTTGTAGGATGATAAGTGCGCACGAAAGCCCAACCGAATTTCTACCTTCATTTGATCGTGCCACTATTATTTCAAAAAATATTCAATATGTCAGCCGTTCAAACTTCAAGAGATCTATTTAATACATTAAGAGTTTCAATAATGCGCTTTAAAGCTTTTAAAAAATCTAAAAAATAACTTTAAATATTAAAAAGTTGAATATATCATTATCCTTATTTTATTCAATTTATGAAAATGGTTAATATTGTGTTTAAAAAATATATTTTAACTTTTAAAAATATTTCAAAAAAGTTTTCAAAAGTTTAATTATATCCTTCAAACTTTTTAAAAATACCTTTAAAACTTCAAAAATAATTTTAATATCAATACAACATATTAAAAATACTAATAAACTTTTAAAAGTAACATTAAAAAATGAGATAATTTATAAGGGGTTGATAAACACTTTTGTTCATATATTGACGATAAATTTTTTTATAAAGGTTAAGAATGTATTTTTTTTTTATATAAAAAAAAGTTGAAAATTACTACCGAGACTTTTTAAAATTCAATAGTATTTATATACCTTAAAAGTTCAATGGTAGGATAAGAAAATTTAATTTAAAAACTTTATTGAAGTTATTTTTAAAATAGTATTTTTTTTTTATAAATAATTTAGGCACTTATTTATTAATGTAAATAATAGAAATTGAAAGAAAATTTGTGTAATAGGAAACGGCTTTTTCCCGGTTCAATGCAAAATTCCCAACGCCCAAGAAAACCTGACGCTCTGTCAAAGTGGGTATCCCATGCCGGCTCCCGACAACAACGGCCCAATAAAACCAAACCACTTATTTTTTACCCTTTTATTATTTTTTTTATTTTTAAATCTTCATTCCTATTACAATTTTTTTACTTTTAAATATTTAAATTTAGTATTTATATTTTCCTTTTTCTAAAATTTGAAATCAACTTTTATCTATTTAGTAAAATATCAATTTTATATTACATTTTAGGGAAGAATATGAAATTTTTAACCAAAATATAAAAGTTTTAAGGCTATTTCTAAATATATTTTAAAAGTATTTCAAACTAAAATAAAGGAAAATTGAAGAACATGACCGTTGGATCCAGTTGGCAGTTTCAGTCCACGTCAGCTGCTCTGGTCACATCGTGTGTTACAACTTTTGTCTACAACTTAGTTTTAAAGCTCACTCATGCTCTCTCTCGCCCAACATCAACAACAACAAAAAAAAAAAAAAAAAAAAAAAAAAAAAAAAAAAAAAAAAAAAAAAAAAAAAAAAAAAAAAAAAAAGATTTAAATACTTTTTTATTTAACTTGTTTTTTTATTCATTTTTTCTTGATCTCGATAAAAAATAATTTTTTTTTGTCGGGATGGATTTCGAGTCCAAATTTGAGTTATATTAAAAATAATCACATTTATTAATAAAATTATAAATTTAGTTCTTAAACTTTTAAATAAGCTTTTTATTCCTTTAAAATTTTAAAAAATGGAATAAATTTATATAAATTCATGAATTCTAAAAAGTGTTATAACAAAGTTCATAAATGTACGGGAGTGGAGATCCAAAAAAAAATTTTACAATTTAAAAATTTATGGGACAAAATTAAAAATATAAAATTAAGATATTTATTAAACATTTAATCCAAGATTAGGGATGAATAAATGGGAACAAAAACATTAAGACACTAGAGTTGTAAATTAATGATTTTTCATCCACCCATTCATTAAATTCTGTATGGTAACGCTCAACCTCATCAAATCTCCACCGTTGGATCTCTGACATGTTCCTGCGACACTCTCCACAGTCCACAATCCACACACTACACAGACAGTAAAAGTGAGCTCCCACTAGTCCACTTTTTGGTTCTCTCTCTTCAAATTTCTCTCTTTTTTTTGGGTTTTGTTGTTTGGGATTCTCTTCTTTTTGGGGTCCGACCTAGATTTTGAATTGTGGGGCACTGGGGTTTTTGCTTTGTGAACTGGGTCTGTGGAGAACCCCATTCTTTCGAGGGTTTCAAGTGAATTCTTCTTTCAATGGCTCTGATTCTTCTCTTTTTCCTTCTAGCTGTTTCTGCTGTTTCTGCTGATCAAGGTGAGCTCTTCTTCTTTGTTGTTGCCATTCTTGTCAGATTGCATCTCTCTCTATTTGTTTCTTTTCCATTTGTTAGAATCAGTTTCAGTGTAGTGTTCTTGAGCTGTTCTTCAATGTTTCTTGTTCATTAGAAATTTTGTTTTTTTTGTTCTTTTTATTTGACTGGCTATAGTTGAATAAGTGTGCATGTGGTATTGTGTTGATGGGTTTTTGATATCTTTTGGAAAGCTTGTCCATAACGTTTTAGTGGGATCTGGACTTGGAGTTTATTAGCAGGAATGTTTTAAGATGACAAGAACTTATGAAAGGGGACTTTAGTTTCTGTGGTTGGAAGTTGAGGTTACTGATAAAGAAACATTTCCATTTGGGGAAAATGAAATCTATCTGACCTTTTTTTGATGGGGAGTTTTTGTTAGCTACCATGTTTGGTTCCAGATCAATTTCCTCCTGTCTTTTAACATCTTAGTCTATTGTGGTGTGGAGAATCTTGGAAGAGGAATGTGGGATCTCACGTCGGTCGGGGAGGAGAACGAAACATTCTTTATAAGGGTGTGGAAACCTCTCTCTAGTAGACGTGTTTTAAAAACCTTGAGGGGAAGCTTGAAAGGGAAAGTTCAAAGAAGACAATATCTGCTAGTGGTGGGGCTTTACAAATGGTAACAGAGTTAGACACTGAGCGATGTGCCAGCGAGGAGGCTGAGCCCTGAAGGGGGTGGACACGAGGCGGTGTGCCAAGAGGGACACTAGGTCCCGAGGGAGGGTGGATTGGGGGGGAGTCCCACATCGAAGTGCCAGCAAGGACGCTGGGTCTGGAAGGAGGGTGGATTGTGAGATCCCACATTGGTTGGGGAGAAGAACGAAACATTTTTTATAAGGGTGTGGAAACCTTTCCTTAGTAGACGCGTTTTAAAAACGGAAACCTAAAAGGGAAAGTCCAAAGAGGACAATATCTGTCAGCGGTGGGCTTGAGCTGTTACAAATGGTAACAGAGCTAGCACTGAGCGACATGCCAGTGAGGAGGCTGAGCCCTGAAGGGGATGGACACAAGGCGATGTGCCAACAAGAACGCTAGGTTCGGGGGGTGGATTGGGGGAGAGTCCCACATCGATCAGAGAAAGGGAATAAATGCTAGCAAGGATGTTGGGCCCTAAAGGAGGGTGGATTGTGAGATCCCACATTAGTTGGGGAGAAGAACGAAACATTCTTTATAAGAGTGTGGAAACCTCTCCCTAGGAGACACGTCTTAAAAACCTTAAGGTGAAGCCCAAAAGGGAAAGCCTAAAGAGGACAATATCGGCTAGTTGTGGGCTTGGACAAGGAAAGTAAGTGATCAAATTCTATCCTGCGGTGTTTTATGGATTTTGGGGGCTTACACAAGCAAATAATAAACTATTTGAATCATCCAAACCTACTTACATTTGGAAACCATGACAATTTCTATAATTATGCTGTTTTCTTCTATATGTTCCTTTCATCTCTTCATCTCTTCCTCCCTTCCCCTATTTAGGTTTATTATAAGATTTTGTGTGATTATGTTGATGTTCTTTTTCATGTTCATCATCACGATGACGTGAACCGAGCTGAAAAATATTGCGTTTGTGCTGAAAAAGACTGTCTAAACTCTTGAACATAATTGCAGATGCATTCATTGGTGTAAACCTTGGTACAGACCTTTCTGATATGCCCAGCCCCACTCAGGTAGTTGCACTTCTTAAGGCTCAAAACATTAGACATATCAGGTTATATGATGCCGACCGTGCCATGTTGCTTGCGCTTGCCAACACAGGCATCCAGGTATCCGTTTCTGTACCCAATGACCAACTCCTTGGAATTGGCCAGTCCAACGCGACTGCAGCCAACTGGGTCGCTCGAAATGTCATCGCCCATGTTCCTGCCACCAACATCACAGGCATAGCAGTTGGCTCTGAAGTTCTTACCTCTCTTCCAAATGCTGCCCCAATCCTAGTCTCAGCTCTAAAGTTCATTCAATCTGCTCTGGTCGCATCTAATCTAGATCGCCAAATCAAAGTTTCTACCCCACATTCTTCTTCCATTATTCTCGATTCGTTCCCGCCATCGCAGGCCTTCTTTAACCGCTCATGGGACCCTGTCATGGTCCCTTTACTTAAATTTTTGCAGTCCACCGGGTCGTATCTCATGCTTAATGTATATCCATATTATGATTACATGCAATCGAATGGTGTGATTCCTCTAGACTACGCTCTTTTTCGACCCCTCCCTCCAACCAAGGAAGCTGTTGATGCCAATACCCTCTTGCACTATACTAATGTCTTTGATGCAGTTGTTGATGCTGCATATTTCGCAATGTCGGCTTTAAACTTCACCAACATTCGCATTGTTGTAACTGAGTCAGGCTGGCCATCTAAGGGTGATGCATCGGAGCGAGATGCAACATTAGACAATGCTAACACTTACAATAGCAACTTAATTCGACATGTTCTTAACAACACTGGAACACCGAAGCATCCCGGAGTTCCTGTTAGTACCTACATATATGAGCTCTACAATGAAGATTTAAGACCTGGTTTGGTCTCAGAAAAAAACTGGGGTCTCTTCTATCCAAATGGAGTGCCAGTTTATATCTTACACTTAACTGGTGCTGGTGCTGTTTTGGCAAATGATACCACAAACCAGACGTTCTGTGTTGCAAGAGACGGTGCCGATCGTAAGCTGCTGCAGGCAGCCCTTGATTGGGCTTGTGGACCGGGAAAAGTCGATTGCTCCTCGTTATTGCAGGGGCAGCCATGTTATCAACCAGATAATGTTATAGCTCATGCAACCTATGCTTTCAATGCATATTACCAGAAAATGGCCAAGTCTCCAGGGACCTGTGATTTCAAAGGAGTAGCTATCATCACAACCACAAACCCAAGTATGAAATCTTGAAATTCTTAGAAATAGTGTAAATTTTCCGACGATTTGCTAATACTCGGTTTGACGTTTCTTGTTGCAGGTCATGGTACGTGTATTTTCCCAGGAAGGTAAGAGACGACGACTCCTAAATAGTTCTACTAAATTACGTATGGTCTTAGTTAAACGCTATACGTAAAAGTGTATATCTCCTACTTACTGAGCTTTTTGTATTGCAGTAATGGATATAATGGGACTTTAGTTAATAGCACATCTTTGGCTCCATCTTCAAACTCTTCTGATTCAGCTGGTGGGTGCCGTCCAAAGTATCTCTATGGTAGCAACCCTTACACTATGTCAATGATCTTGTGCGTCTTATTAATGACTTTGGCATTCTTGTGATGATGCTACTGCTGCTGCTGCTGCATTTTTCATTTTGTATTCGTATATCTCCACGACGGTTTTGGATTTTCGAGCTTAGTTCCATTTGGTTCCAAGCTATTGTAACTTATTTAGCCAGTTTTGGTATGGTCGAGGGTGGACGAGTGGGGAATAGGATCGTGAATGTGGCTATATTAGTCGTCGATCGAGTTCGACGAGCCATCGTTTGGATTTTGTAGAGAGAGGAAAAAAAAGGAAATCAAAGGATTATTTGTGAGCTCTTGTGTAAGTTGTAACTATCATCATCATTCTTTGGAGTCTCCATTGCTTAGCAAGTTTGTTCGGATCTTCAGTTTAATTCACTCAAAAATGTTGTAGCTGAAGCCTAAACCTTTCCTTCTCTTTCTGTTTAGCCATTTGTCATAAAGTTGCTTGATAACATTACTTTATTTGAGTTTCTAAATTTCGAAAATTCCGACCCCTAAAGTTTAGAGCTATAAATTGATTTACCTAAACATTTATTAAATTTTGTTAACGAATTAAAAATGCGTTAAATGCCACTAGCTGGTGTTGTTTTTGTGCAATGTTGGTCGCTAGCTTGGAAAATGGCTGTTGATTGACTGACCCTTTAAGATTTAACGTTAGCCCCGATGGTCGATGAGTTAATCAACAATCTAACCATCCAAGATAGAGTAACCAAAGGGGTACGTACGACTTAGAGCTCACGCGTTGGTTATTGAAACGCTCCTAGACAATTATCAAAGCGCCTTCAAACATCAACTCGAAAGTAGGTCAAAAGTGGGGCTAATGTTATGGACAAAATAATAACTTGCCACCCGAAATGCATTAAGACACATGTCTATTTTATTAATAGATTTATTCCCTACCAAAAATATATATATATATATATTTTGTCAAATATGTCCATAAATTAATAAATAAAAGTTTCTTAATATTGGAAAATTTTAAAAATTTTAAAAATTGAAAATTTAATACTCGGAAAATAAAAGGTAAAAAAAATACAAAATAAAAAAAACGACAAAGATTTTGGGGGTGGAGTAAGTTACATTATTCCAACTCTGCCATTTGCCCGTTGTCTCCAATGTGCTTCAGCCAAAAAGGAAATAATAAATAAATATAAATAAATAAAATATTGTTATTTAATTTTTGTAAAAATTTGAGGAGATTTCTGGATCATTGTTTTAATCGACAAATTTGCCCACAGAATACAAAGAACAGTCCAAACACCGATTCGTATTTATTATTTTTATTTTATTTATAATTTTATATTTGCACGTGTTTTTTTAATCATAAATAAATATACTTTCACTTCTTCCAATAAATTACTGAAAAGATTCTTCTGCGTTCTGTCTCATCCTGCATTCTAAAACCTTTATTTATTTATTTTTTTATTTATTTTTAAATTGGAAGTCCCATTATATTTATGATATTAATAAATAATTAATTTTGTATTTAAAACATAGTTTAAATATGAAGTTTTTCTCAATTTATTCCTAAAAAATATTTATTTTATTGATGTATTTTTAATATTGACCATTTAATTAACGAGACTAGAGATTATTATTCCTTCCCAAAATTTGTATGTTACGAACACATCTCTAGATTTGAATCACAACGAGTATAAGCTAGGTTGGATGAAAATAATACATACAATGTGACCTTTATTTACGTGTTATTAAATCGTGATGATAAAATATGATGTATATGATGCATGACTACACACATGGACTCGTATACTTAAAATATTATTCTTGAAATTAAAAAACGTCATTTAATTTTGACTTTTTCTTATATAGTTTAATGATATATTAATTAATTAATTAACATATGCGTGACAGTGAAGCATAAATTTTAGTATAAAGTTTTCATATTATATAAAGGGGAGCTGTTGTGCCAAAAATAGAAATGCTTTGTTTCAAAGTAGGGCAACCCCATAATAGTAAAGCTTGAAAATAAATGATTATGCTCCATTATGAATTTCTCATCATTATCCTTATGAAATATACTAATAATTAAATTTAAAAGAAACACAGAGACAGAAATTGATGATTGCAAAGTTGAGTAAATGATTACATTTATTTATTTTATGTTTTCGATTAGGTTAATGATAAGTTTAAGGTTTGATTTTAAACACAATTTTGTATCCAAAGTATTGTTGAGTTCCTGATATGAAATTACATATTTATGACATCTCTTCTTGATAAATGTGTGACAATCGAGTAAAAAAGAGGTATATGAACCTTTTATATTTGGTGATTTCTTGGTATTCTTCTTCAGAAGCATGTCAATGAAGATGTAATAGCCCAAACTCATTACTAGTAGATGTTGTCCGCTTTGGCTCGTTACGTATCGTAGTTAGTCTCAAGGTTTTAAAACGCGTCTACTAGGAAAAGGTTTTCATGTCGTTCTACATAACGCTTCGTTCCCCTCTCCAACCAAAGTGAGATCTTACAATCCACTCTTTTGAGGTTCAGCTTCCTCGTTGATTCGCCGTCCAATGTCTAGCTCTGAAATCATTTGTAATAGCCTAAGCCTATTGCTAACAAATATTGTCCGTTTTGACTCGAGCGGAGAACTTGAGCTGTTATAAATGATATCAGAGTCAGTCACCGAATGACGCAAGACATTGTCAGAATAAGGTCAGACCCTCTCTATAGTAGACACGTTTTAGAACCGTGAGATTGACGATGATGCATAATGAGCATAGTAGCTAAATATTCTCAAGTCATTAACATTTGCATTTATTCTACTCTACGATTTTTGAGGTGTGATGCACTTAGTCATTCTATCCTCATAGTCACTTGCATTTAAATGTGATTTCAGTTCATTCATGAGCACCTCATTTATTCGAATATCGTAATAATCAGTTTCCTTATAAATTGATTTGAAAAATTAATAATTTTAAAAAAAATTTAATATTATATCTAACCAATCTTTAAACTTTAAAAAATAAACTCTTAAGTTTAGGTTAGATATATTTGTTTAGTATTTTATTTAATTTTTTTTCCATAATTCAAAATTATTATTGGCCGTTAGAAAACAAATAAAAAAAATATTTTAATAATTAAGGATGGATTCTTTGACTTTTTTGTTTTAATTAATCAAAATAAAATAATAAAAAAAATATAGGATTTACATTTTTTTCTATGAATTGTAGCAATTTCCTATCTAATGCATAAAAAATTGCAGATCAATTGTGTGGTATAGCCTTGCAGCTATTATCGTCCGGGTACTGTGTCTCTATTTTACGATTTTTAACTTTTTGGAACTACTCATTTGTGTGCACGAAAGTTAACCAATTTTGAGTAATGCAAACACAGACAAACTGGTGGGACCTAAAACGTCACTGGTCATGGACCCCATTTCTTTTCTCACTAAAAAAAAAAATTTGAAGTATAAGAGTTCGTTTGTTTTCGTGCAAGTCCTACTTTCGAGAGTAGGGTTTGTGGTTTTTAAAATGGTAGATAGTTGATTTGAAATGATGTGCGAAAACCCATTGTATCGGTAGTTGAAATAAAAACTTAAACCGATGATCAAAATTTGAAGAAGGTTCCACGGAAGCACGCAAAATAGACCTCAAACGCGGGTCTAATTAGAGTTCAAATATAAAATTCACATGAAGATTATAAAAAGAAAGAAAGAAATAAATAAATAAATAAACAAAATTTAATATAAATAAGCACACTTCAAAAATTATTTTTTTTTTAGAGAAGGAAGGAGACAAGAAGGCACGTAATATCATGTCAACATTTGTTTTTCCTTTTAAAATTGTAACTAATAAATAGTAATATTCACACATTGAGTAGAAAAGAAAAAATCGACGAGTTGAGGCGAATAAATCGTTAGGTGGCGAAAACATCGGGATTAATCAACTAGTGAACCACGTGCGGAAAGCCACGTGGCAGTCTATGACAGAGTGACAGCAAATGAGAGTGGTACCACCGCCGAAGTAATGCGTGGAGGGTCTTCGCAATTCGCACGTTGTGAGTTACCGGCTAAGGCGGTCACCTCACCGGATGTATCGGTAAGACTCTTCCGATTAGTTCATAAACATGCTTTTATATTCCTTCGACAGGCCAATATCCAATTACGCCTTTCTTCTCTCTTCTTTGCTTTATTTTGCTGCTCTTCAATTCTCCTTTCCTTTTCCTTTTTCTTTTCCGCCCCTCTTTGTTTCAGAGTTGGTTTTATGTGGTCGTTTTTTTTGTCTGAATTTTGTGTTGCTGTCGGGTTTTTTGTCTGAAAATGGAGAGGGATTTCTTGGGTTTGAGCTCTAAGGAGCCATTGGCTATGGTGAAAGAGGAAATCGACAACGATGGAGTCCAAGATTCTGGTAAATTTTCTTCCGATTCCGTTTTGTTTCTTTGTTTTTGAATCCTCTGTTTATTGCTTGTTGAATCTTCAAGTTCTTGGTCGGAGTTGCTTTTTGGGACTCAGAGAGAATTCCCAGTTGAAAATAATGGTTACTCTTTGTTATTGATTAGCTAAATTTTGTTGGGTAACAAAATACTCTTTGATTTCAAGCTTAAAATCTGTTGTTCTCCATACAATTAGGGCATTTTCCATGTGTTCTTGTTTTGGAGCTATGAAATTTTGAAATTCCCTAATTTCATGTGTAGTTCTTAGTCAAGATAATCTAGTGTTACTGTCTGGTATGTTCATTGATCTTTATGGCGGCGTTCTTTTAGGGTATACTACAAGTTCTGGCGTTCCATGGTCCTCTAACATGCCCGCCGCCCTTCCTCATCTGATGCCTTCCAAGATTTCTGCAGGGGACAAGACTTCGAAGCTCGCTTCTGATCCGGTCGTGGTTACCTCGGATGAACAAAGAGCAGCTGAAATACAGGTTTCATATGTGTTCTTCAGTGTTGTTTTTGATGTATGAACTTGTAAACTATAACTTTATCATCTTGCATATATACCTAATATGAGTTAGACATAGATGTTGTCGGGAGGCATTTGACTCATGGATTAAGTTTGTGTTAACCCGAGGCCGAGGTTAAGAAGTCGATCCTATATTGGTTGGACTACATAATCCATAGACATAGTTTACATAAACTAAATTTCTATGACTTATTTCTTTGTATAGCCCAAAGATAGTCTACACTAACGCAGATCTCTCGACTCCAGGCATTCGAAACCCAATTACGACGAGATCGCGTGTGAAAACTTCTCATTATTATGTTTAAAGAGGATTAACAGATGTATTTGCCTTTACTAAATATATGGTTGTCTTTTGTTTGGGCTGATATGGTTGTATCGCTTTCTCCGGTTCGACTTGATCAATCTAGAAAACGTTCAATCACGATAGGCAAGGTGGTCCTCATTTTTCCCTGGAAGCTTATCCTGTGCAACCTGATATGTATTCGACTTATCGTCCTCACGAAGCAAAACTATTTTCAGTTCCAAATCAAGGTATATCAGTTTTCTTAGGCAATCCATCCTTGAAGAACCCTTTTGCTCTTCCTGGTCAGATGACTGGTTCTATCCTCAAACAACCACTTGGAGGAGTCCCTGTCTCGAGTGCTCCAAATTCCCTTTTCCCGCCGTTCGGTTCCATTGTCGGGACCACTGAACCATGGTAATACTCTTAGACTTTTACTTTTCAACTTCATTACTTCACTATATTGAGCTAACAGGTAGAACTATCCTGTGTTTCAGGAGTAGCATGAAACCGACTGGTGGATCCCCAGCTCAATTGACTATCTTTTACGGCGGTACCGTCAACGTCTACGATGACATTACCCCCGAAAAGGTATTTATTAACCCAAAGAGTGTTGAGGAGAGTCATATAGTTTTGCCTCTTTGGAAGTAACATCGTACTCGTTTCCAGGCTCAGGCTATAATGTTCCTGGCTGGAGCTGGAGCTGCCATTTCCAAAATTGCACATCCAAAAGCTCAACCTCATGGAATAGGTGCAAAAATGGCTGCAGCAAGTGACGTTCCTCCACCGAACCAACCCGTAACCACCTTGCCATGTCCTGCTCTCTCGAGCCCCTTGTCCGTTTCTTCTCACACAGGCGCCCAGTCTGCGAGCGGATCGAGCTGCACGGATGAGTTGAGAGGAGCTAAAAGCAATAGAGTTCCCACTCCTATCAGCAAAGGAGAGCCTCTAAGAATAGTCAATCCTATTGGATCTGTCACTGCTACTGCTATGATGCCCTCTGGTATGCCATACTCCTACAGCAGTGATCATATTTCGCCATATCGTTCTTGATAGTATAATAGGTTGAAACTGTCTCGAGTCGCAGCTGATATTTCGTTTCCTGTTTTCTTCTACAGCTGTTCCACAGGCTCGTAAGGCTTCGTTAGCTCGGTTTTTAGAAAAGCGCAAGGAGAGGTAAGCCCCTTTATGATTTCTTGACAAAAAAGAACATAATCAAAGAAAATGTGGATCCAAATTCTATTATCTGAACAATTATGGACATACATATAGGGTGATGAGCTCTGCCCCATACAATCTTAGCAAGAAATATTCGGAGTGTGCTGCGACAGAATCGAACGGTGCAAATTTCTCGAGTCCTATCACGGGCAACAGTGCTAATGTGGCAAGCTAAGCACAACGATGGTGTATGATGCAGAACTTAGATAAGAATGAATTTTATATGATATTTTGTACTAATTCTTATGGTCTATTATCATCTGAACAACAAACCTTGAAGGGATTGGACTATATTCAAGTTTCAAAGTTCCACGTCTTAAATAATATTTTCCTATACATAATTGTTGTAGGGTTGTGAATTCATGTTCAAACTTTGGTTGGATCATTTGCTTCCAACACCCTTATGTTTAGTATCTCTTGTAACTATTCCATCTCTTGGACACGTTTCTTGTACACGTGTATGCTAGAGAGAGAAGTTCACGCCCTTACGAAGAATGCTTCGTTCTTATCTCACGCTGATCTTTCATGTAGTATACCATTTAGAACATCGTGATTTTTGGGAGTCGTTCTCGTGCTTACATTGCATACTTATGTAGTGATAAAGATTTTGTTGGTAGGTATTTGAGGGTGAGAAGATAAGATTGGTTGAAGAACAAGGAGTGTGGGGTTGGTTTAATGAACAAGGCTTTGAAGTGGGAGTTGCAGGTAAATTCTTGAGCTAGAAGAAACCTATCTTTCATATTATTATTGAAAGCTTTTGAGTCTGATGGGGAATCTCCTGATAACCGCATTTTCCCCACTAAGGTAACAACAAAAGGGTTTCAATCTCAAGCCTTTGTCTAATAGTGCAAATAATATCTTTTTATTTGTCCATTTTAATTATAAATTTAATTTGTACAATCTGGGAAATCATAATTTTATAATCTCTAAATTCAATTTTATGTATTCAAAATCTTTAATTTTTTATTACAAAATATAAAAGGTAAATTTCTAATATCTTTTTTTTTTTTTTTTTTTAAATTGTTAATTGAGAAAGGTGTT